TCTATGCGGTCCTCCCTGTCGCACCTTCAGACGTGTCGGAAGGGCGGGCCGGGCGTTCCGCTACAGACTTCTTCACCATTCATGATATTACCGCCTGATGTTCACAGCAGTTTCACGGATGGAGTGCGGTGGTTTTCAAAATGTGGTTTTCGCTTCAGTGCCTTGCACGGATGGAGGGCGGGTGGTTTTCAAAATATGGTTCTCGCCGTAGCGCCGCGTATACTCGTTTTCAACGCTTGCAGCAGCTTCAAGGATGGAGGACGGGTCGTTGCTGAAATGTGGCCCTCGCTTTAGCGCCGCCCACAATCGTTGTATGAAGTTGTAGCAGTTTCAACGGTTCGTATGATTGAAGTCCCAGGCTGGGCCTTCTGGCACGATTTGGGAATGTCAGGGCGCAGCAGTCGCTTTGATTCGCGGTGCCCACTTCCCAGGGATTACGTTCTGACGCGATTTAGGGTAGTCAGGACGCAGCAATCAAGTTGATTCTTGGCGTTGAAGTCCCAGGAAAGGTGTTTTTGGCAAGGTTGGGGATTATCAGACTGTTGTCTTACAGTGGGGCACTTCCCCCAATGACAACGAAACACATTCGTGTAGGTACCAGTGAAGAAGGACCTTGGAGGTAGGGTTTATTTGGCTTTTTACGTTAGGCAAACATTGGCGACTAAGCTGTCTCGGGTCGATGATGCTGGAACGAAAGTGCAATATGCAATACGCACCGACTTATGCCTTAGGGAAACAAATTGCTGTAAGGATCTCAGCGCACAACGGAACATGGAGATGCAACAAGGCGGCGGAAAGGAGAGCAGCCCGAGCGGGCGTAAAGTATATACGCTGAGGTCCGTGACGGGGGTGATGACGATCGCAGGATGAAAGGAAGGTGCCTCATATCGAAAAAAGGAGGAAACTGTAGGAAGTTAACGGCATACCCGCCGGAAAGGCTACGGGTGGCAACCGTACGAAGCTTGGGCCGTGCTATGGGGCGTTGTTTGAATCAGTTAGAGCTTGCTTGCGAAACTCGGCGAACAGTGGTCATACGTAACCAAGTTGTTGCAGTGCAAGCTGCCTGTCAGGCTGGTGGAGGTGTACTGGCTGGCCTGTGTGGTGTCAGTGCAAAACTGAAGCTATGGGCATCTCTTTGGGAGCGTAACCAACATAATGGTCTGACTATTGGTAAAAGCTGGTAGGGCAGGCGTTGAAAGTCGTGGGGTGCAGGGCTTGTACTGTGCTTGGTCCTCCTCCTCCTCCTCCTCCTCCTCCTCCTCTTCCGTTTTTCTTCTCCTCCCTTGGGGGTTGGGAGGCTGCTTGACTTGCACCAGAGGTGGTGGGGACCGGCACCTGCCAGCCCTACTTGGATCCAGGGATCTCCACGAGATTTGCAGCAGGCTGCACCGAGAACGACCAGGGTGGCTGCATCACCGAGCTATGAGACGCCTGAATGGGCGGAATCTGGCGCAGGAAGGTGTACTCGACCTGCCCAGAGGATGAGGGGGGGGAGGAGGAGGAGGAGTAGTAGGAGAAGGAGGAGGGGGAGGACGAAGCGCAGGAGGTGGAGCGGGAGGAGGAATGGAAGCAGGATGAAGAGGAGGAGGAGGAGGAGGAGGAGGAGGAGGAGGAGGAGGAGGTGGCGGATGAGCGGGAGGAGGAGGCGGAGGAGGAGGAGGAAGCGGAGGAGGAGGAGGATGAGGAAGAGGAGGAGGCGGATAAGGAGGCGAAGGAGGCGGAGGAGGAGAGGAGGACCATATAGTCTTTCGTATGCTTTGAGCCCTTTGTTGGCCTTCGGCCTCCGGAGGCCTTCTAGGATCTCTATATATACCTCTTGGGGTCGCCAGCGACCTCCCGGAGGGAGGGAACGGGCGAATGAGAGGGAGGGAGGGCGGGGATGGGGGTGAAGAGCGGAGGGAGGAACATTGCGTGGGTGGCAATTGACGCCGTAACGGAAAGTTGAAGAGGCGTGAAGGTACGTTGGACCTTCATTTAGGGACGTCTTCGTTGGCCGAGGGTCCCTAGAGGACTCCTCGGCCCCCTCCAGTGGCAATTGACGCCATCATGATAGGTGGGAGTGGGAACGTACGCAGCCCCTGTGATGGACGCTTCGGGGGGTGCGAGGCCTATTGGCGGTCCTCACAGGCGAGGCCTAAAGACGGTCTTCGCCGGATGGGGGAGGAAAGGAGAGGCGTTGATGCCTTTGGTGGCGGCGCTGTCGGCGGTTAAGGGTCCTGGGAGATCGCCAGCTCTGCAATCGAAGCTGGGGTCCTAAGGCGGGCTCCCGACACGGGGAATTCGGAAAAGACACCGCCGACCCCGCCAACGCCACGACGGCAGCGACGAAAACGACGACGACGACGACGACGACGACGACGACGACGGTCGACGACGACGACGTCGACGACGACGACGATGACTTCGACGGCGACGACGACCACGATGATGACGACGACGACGAAGGCGACGACGACGACTTCGACGACTACGACGACGACAACGGCAACGGCGAGGACGACGACGACGACGACGACGACGACGACCGACAACCAACGACCGACGACCCACAACCGACGACGACTCGTGATCGACGACCGACGTCCAACGACCGATGAGCACAGACGACAACGACGACGACACCGACACCGACACCGTCACCGACACTGACACCGACCGACCGACCGACAGACGACCGACGAGCACAGACGACAACAGCAGCGGCGGCGGCGGCGACGAAGCCCAGCACCCGCGGCCGTCGCCGGGCAAGCAAAATTCGGTGCCGACGAACAAGCCGTCTGTTGGCCCACCCCCCGACGAGGGGGAGGGAGGTGGGGGGGAAGGGGGAGGGGGAAGGGAAAGGAGGAAGAGCGGGGAAACGGGGAGGGGGCATGGGGGCGGGGGAAGGAGGAGGAGTAGGCGAAAACACTTCGTGCGTTTCATCTTCCGCTTCGTTCCGAGTCCACCCCAGTTCACTTTAGCGTACAGTCGTGTCTGTCGACGCCAAGGGCGGAAACATGTTTCGTGTTTCGCCCAATCTCCCACCCCCCTTGAATTCCTGAGGCGCCGAGGGGTCATATATATATATATATATATATATATATGCACACACAAGTGGCACGTGTGTGCCCAGGCTCATACAAAAAACTGAAAGGGCGTTTGAAGCAGGAAGACACCATGACTGCAGGATCGGAAATGGAGAAGGGGAAGCTGGGGCGGCGCCGCCAGGGCGTGCCTAAGAGAAGGGGAAGAGGCAGGATGTGAACGCAGAAGAATCTAAGATCGAGGTCGCACTCGAGCGCAAGTGGGGTTGCCACACCTTTCGACGTGTGTACCAGGGCCCCCCAGGAAACCTCAGGAGGCCCGACTTGGATACCGGAAGAGGCTCCAGGAGGCCCCGGGATTGTGAGTGTTGTGTGTGTGTGTGTGTGTGTGTGTGTGTGTGTGTGTATGTGTGTGTGTGTGTGTGTGTGTGTGTGTGTGTGTGATGTGTGCTCTGTGTTGTGCGTGTTTTCTGGGCGTTGTAGGTGTTGTGTGTGTTATGTTTGTCTAGCGTGTGATGTGTTGGGTGTGATTTGTGTCTCTGTATGTGCATGTAGTTCTGAGGCCCCAGGAGGCCCCAGGAGGCCCCAGGGGCCTCAGGAGGCCCCAGAAGACCCCAGGAGGCTCCAGGAGGCCCCAAGAGGCTCCAGGAGGCCGCAGGAGGCCCCAGGAGGTTCCAGGAGACCCCCAGGAGGCTCCGAGGCGGGGTCTGGGGTACCAGAAGGTACAGAAAACCCCAGGAGGCCCCTGGAGGTTCCAGGAGGCTCCCAAGAGGCGCCTCTTTCTGGGGTACCAGAAGGTACGTCGGGGCTCGATTTTGGAAGGATGTCTCAGGCGAAATCGCCATTCTCTGAGAATCGGGGTCTAACACATTGAAATTACAATGTGTTTTTGAAGGTTTTATGATCGAATGTTGAAGTTCCCATGTGTTTCTGGACCCTGACGTCACGATCTGCGTGAGGGGTGCCACCGATTTTCAGACTTTCGAGGATGTCCCGAGCGAAACGGCCAGACAAATCGCGGACGTGGCGCCCCGCGTACGCACTAATCGCCTCTGAGCTTTACTCCCTCGGAGATGTGCGTATGAGAACACACACACATATATATATATAGATATGTATGAAGAAGCCTCTGTCGGCTGAGCGACAACAGTCGGTATCGCATATTTTCGCAATCTGGTAGGGCCGAATTGCCCTATTGCTTTACCAAGCGACATGGGAGGGAGGCTGAGGAGGAAAAGGAGGAGGAGAAGGAGGAGGAGGGAGGTGTTGGCAGGATCTGTGGGAGGCAGGGAGGGAACGAGCGAGGGAGGGATGAAGGGGAGGGGGAGGGGAAGGGGGAGGGGGGTGGGAGGGGAGGGGGAGGGGGAGGGGAGGGGGAGGAGGAGGAGGAGGCGGAGGAGGAGGAGGAGGAGGAGGGAGGAGGAGGAGGAGGAGGAGGAGGAGGAGGAGGAGGGAAGAGAAGGAGGACGAGGGAGGAGGGAGGGGGAGGTGGAGGGGGAGGGGGAGGATGGGAGGGGGAGGAGAAGGGTGGATGAGGGAGGAGGAGGAGGAGGAGGGAGGTGGAGTGGTGGAGGGAGGAGGGGAGGAGGGGAGGGAGGGAGGAGGAGGGAGGAGGGAGGAGGGAGGAGGAGGAGGAGAGGAGGAGGAGGAGGAGGAGGAGGAGGAGGAGGAGGAGGAGAGAGGAGGAGGAGAGGAGGAGGAGGAGGAGGAGGAGGAGGAGGGAGGAGGAGGAGGAGGAGGAGGGAGGAGGAGGAGGAGGAGGAGGAGGAGGGAGGAGGAAGGAGGAGGAGGAGGAGGAGGGAGGAGGAGGAGGAGGAGGAGGAGGAGAGGAGGAGGAGGAGGAGGGGGAGGAGGAGGAGGAGGAGGAGGAGGAGGAGGAGGAGGATGGAGGAGGAGGAGGAGGAGGAGGAGGAGGGGGAGGCCCGCCGCTGCGCCATGACCCGCGCACAGAGGCCACCCAGCGTCCGCCGTGCTAGA